GGGGGGGGGGGGGGCTGCTGACACCAGCTGATGAGCTCTCCCCAGGGTCTCCCTTTAGGCAAACAGCTGCCAGACGCCGCAGCTGCAGCCCAGAACCAATCAGCTCCCTGCCTGGCCCTGCAGAGACTGCGACCTGCTCCACGTGGGCAGGTGCTCTGTCCACGCTCCCTGTCCTGGCGGAAGCAGCTTCTCTCTCCTCTGCCCTCTTGGACACAGGACTTGGGTTGCACATATGCTTGGGTCCCCACCGTTCAGCTACATCTCCTGGACAAGAACAAGCACACCACGCACGCAGTCCAGGAAACCGGTGGCTCCAGCCCGTTCAGTGGCAGCCGCGTCCCAGGCGTCCCTGCAGGGCGAGCCTTACCAGCTCCCAGCTAACAATCCCTCCTTCCCAGGCAACATCCGCCCGAGGGCTGGGCCTGACGCCGCCCGGGCCCTTGTGAAATACACGCGTCCCCTCCGAGGCTGCAGGCTCCTGCTGAGCTGGCCTGCCCCCCGGCCCCCAAGGGCTTCCCCTCATTCATTCACATGGGGCTTCCCTGCTCCCTTCCCATCAGGCCGCGCGGCTGTGGCGAGGTCTCCATTTGCCGCTGCAGGACCAGGGCTTCCCTGCCAGGCAGTGGCACTTCCGGCGCAGGATGGGCTACTCCGTCTTCTACGCGGCAGGGGATTTTTCTTTTTCCATTTTCAAAAGTAGGGAGTGCACACAGCCAGGCCAACGGGAAGGAGGCTTAGAGCAGACGGGAGCTTCGAGCACCAGGCTATTAAAATATATCTATATCTATATCTACATATATATATATACACACACACACATATACACACACACATATATATGTATCCTTTGTAATTAATAAGTAGTATGTGGGGTAGTACTTTGAGACTGTGTGAATATCCCATTTCCCAGCAATGATTTTCACCCAGTGATTTTTTTTAAAAATATATTTTATTGATTTTTTACAGAGAGGAAGGGAGAGGGATAGAGTTAGAAACATCGATGAGAGAGAAACATCGATCAGCTGCCTCCTGCACACCCCCCACTGGGGATGTGCCCGCAACCAAGGTACATGCCCTTGACCAGAATCGAACCCGGGACCCTTGAGTCCGCAGGCCAACGCTCCATCCGCTGAGCCAAACCGGTCAGGGCTACATTCCTTTTTTATTTCAGAGAGGAAGGGAGAGGAAGAGAAACATCCTATATAATAAAAGGCTAATATGCAAATTTTTCCCAAGTTGAGGAGTTCAAGCGACCAGGAGTTAGACCAGGAGTTAGACCACCACGGGGCAGCACAGAAAATGGCGGGCATTGGCAACACGGTGCTGGCCGCGGGCAGCAGTGGAGGTGCTGCCGGCCCGATGGGCCCGATGAGAGCGGGACCGAGGCAGGATGGTGGAGCAGGTGAGTGGGTGGCACCAGGCCAAGGTGGGTGCGAAGGGAGGCCCCGCCAGCAGCCACTAGGGACCCCACCTGCGCACGAATTTTGCGCACTGGGCCTCTAGTCGATGATAAAAAATTGATCGGCTGCCTCCTGCATGATCAGGGATGGAGCCCGAAACCCAGGCATGTGCCTTGACCAGGAATTGAACCTTGACTTCCTGGTTCATAGGTTGCCGCAACCACAGAGCCACCCACCGGGGCCAGGCCAGGTTAAGAGCTGGTTCCTGGGACAGATACAGATGCACCTGCTGAAAATGCTCCCAGCAACTTGACAAAGAGCTACTTCCTACGGATTGTGAGCACGGGCGTGGGGCCTCCCCAGGAAGTCGCGTCCTACTGGACAGAGATGAATGTGGGCCCATCCTGGAATTGTCTTCCACTGCCACGTGAGTCAATGAGGCTTCACTGCGATGCCCCGTGCAAAGGCGGAGGCTGGGGAGGGAAGAAGTGACCGCGGGGTCCCCCTGGCCATCAAGGAGGGGGAAGCTACCAGGTGTTCATGGGAACCTGGGGGCAGGATGGCTGACTCCGCTGCTATACAGTCACGTATAAATGTAGATTCCAGCCCTGGCTGGTGTGGCTCAGTGGGTAGAGCATCAGCCTGCAGACTGAAGGGTCCCGGGTTCGATTCCAGTCAAGGATGCCCGGGTTGCAGGCTCGATCCACAGGGGGGGGCGTGCAGGAGGCAGCCGATCCATGATTCTCTCATCATTGATGGTTCTATCTCTCTCTCCCCTCCCCCTCCCTCTCTGAAAGCAATAAAAACTGTTAAAAAAAAAAAAAAGTAAGATTTCAGATGCAAAGAAGTTGCCCCAACCCTACATGTTGCCGTGAAAAATGCAATCAGGGCGGTTACAGGGTTTGTCCAAAGTCACCTAGAAAAGCTAAAAGCCCAAACCAGGTGTTAATAACATACTTAGGTTTAAACTGGCTTTTATTTATTTTTTACTTTTTAAATATACTTTTATTGATTTCAGAGAGGAAGGGAGAGGGAGAAACATCCATGATGAGAGGGAATCATGGGTTGGATCGGCCGCCTCCTGCGCGCCCCCTGCTGGGGAGGGAGCCCCCCTCCAGGGCCTGTGCCCTGACCCGCAGGTGAACCCTGACCTCCCGTGACCTGGCTCTTAGAACCACCTCCGTGAAGACTGCCCCCTCCTTCCCCCGCCCTCCCCGTCCACAAGCGCCACGGAAATGACAGTTTTTTAAAAAGTGGCCACAACCTTGTCAACTACCCCGGATGCCTGCAGGCA